TTACGTGGCTTGCTAGTTTTGTCTCTGAAAATTACTGACGAGTGTCGACCACTCAGGTAATTCGCCCACCACCGTTTGAGTCCCTGTGGGAGTGAGGAGGCCTCTATATCTTCTAGTAGCGTTGAATGACTGACAGTGTCGAACTCCTTGGACAGGTCCAACGCTACTAGAATAGTTCTCTCACAGGGGCGGCTTCGGTTTACGCCACGAGTTATCTGAGTGTTTATGGCATTAAGTGCTGTTGTTGTACTATGCACTTTACGGAACCCATGTTGGTGCTTCGCTGGGGTCAGGTGGTCGTAAAGTACGGGAGCAGCAGGGCCTCGAGTGTTTTCGCTACCGGGTAAAGGAGAGTTATCGGGCGATAAGACTCTCCTTTGTTGGCTGGTTTCCCCGGTTTGAGCAGTTGGACCACTCTCCCCATTTTCCAGATGTCTGGAATGACGAGTGTGGCCATAGACAGGTTGAGGACCACCGTTAGGTACGCTACTCCCGCAGGACCCAAATTTTTCAGCATCAACAGGCATATTCCGTCGGGTCCAATGGCTTTGGGGATTTCGCCTTCCCGATGGCTACCCTTACCTCACCGCTGGTGAAAACAAGATACGCACTAGGTTTTGGCATTTTGTGCAGCCTTCTTGTCACTCGACTTTGGGCTTTATCCACCGGAGGATGCAGAATGAACTGCCGACGAAGCGTGGTCATCAAAGTTTATTTCGACTCTGTCGTCACGCTTCGTCGGGTTGGACAACATCCTCACGGCTGACCAAAGCTTGCTCACACCAGAGGCGAAGTTGCAGGTCTTCAGATGCTCTTCCCATTTCTTCCGGTTATGTACGTTCACAAGTTGCCGAATCTCCGAAATGAGATCCCTAATACGGGGATTTCCGGGATCGGTCTGACGAAGGTTGTCGCGCTCATCAGCTAGAACAGCCGCTTCGGCAGGAAAATTCGGACGTGGATCCTTAATACATCCTGCTGGGATGAAGCGAGCTGTAACAGCGGTGAAAACCCTGCGGAACTTACGTTCATGAACGTCGGTTGGTATGGGTAGTGCAGTGAAGGCGCCCTCAGTAACATCCGTGAAACCTTTCCAGTCAGCTTTGGAAAAGATGACATAAGTCCGGTCATCCACGGAAGTAAAGTCGGCAGGTTTATCAATCGAGGTGACTATGGCCAGATGGTCTGATGCTAGAGTCAGCATAGGTCGCCATGATACGCTGTTTATCAGACCAGCGCTGTCAATTGTTAGATCTGGCGAGCTGCAGCAGCTGCCCATAATCCTGGTGGGTGCGTCGTCGTTCATTGTGCAGAATGTCGAATCGTCTATCTGCTCAGCCAGATGTATTCCCCTACGATCATTTGACAGGCTTGAGTGCAAAGATCGTGGTGCGCGTTAAAGTCACCAACTACCATTCGGTTTTCACCTCTGAGTAGCGCACCTATTTCAGAGTGATATCCTGGCGGGCAGCTGGTGACAGGGGGTATGTATACGTTAAATATTTCGAGCTTANGTCACCAACTACCATTCGGTTTTCACCTCTGAGTAGCGCACCTATTTCAGAGTGATATCCTGGCGGGCAGCTGGTGACAGGGGGTATGTATACGTTAAATATTTCGAGCTTAGCATCGCCTGACCGGATAGCAATACCCTGACATTCTAGGATGGTATCCCTGCGGTCGATGTCTGCTTCAATAAGACTATACTGCACGGTGTGGTGCATGATGAACGCTAAACCTCCACCATTATCTCGCTAGCGATCTCGACGGTGCACGTTGTATCCGGCGCAATTCAACAGGGTTGAATTGCCGTGCAATTTCGTCTCTTGGACCGCAGCTATTAATATTCCATGCCTTCCCATAAAGACAGTTATCTCCTCGATGTTTCTCTGGAGTCCGTTACAGTTAAATTGTAGCACCTTTGTGTGCCTTGTGAGACCGATTGTGATGTGTGGTGTTAAAGAGTTGTGTTGCCTGCCGGCCCCCTGCTGTACGTGCTGCAAAAGGGGGTGGTGCCTTGTGGTGGTGGTTGGCGGCGTCGCGGAGGAGGGATGCGACAAGGCAGCACAGCAGGGGCCCACATAGTCACTGTTGTTGTTGTTGTTGTAGCGGCTACAACAACCCCGCCCAGGACGGTTGCTATCTCAGTCGTTGTCGTCAAGTTCCACTAACGGCAACCCTAGGAAGCGTGCAGCTTCTGTGGGGTTTGTCCACAGGGACAAGGCCGTTAGGGTTGTCGGGTTCTCCGGGCATGCGAAGAGATGTTTCGAGTCTTGTGGGGTCTCTCCGCATGCCGGACACTCATTCGGCGCATCCTCATTCAATCTACTCAGGTAGGAGTTTAACCTGCTGCAGTAGCCGGAGCGAAGTTGTGCAAGTGTCGTTCGCGTCTCCCGAGGCAGATGAAGCTCCGTCTCGTCTGTGTCCGGGGGTGGTATGCCTAGAACGGCATTCACAGGTCTAGAGTCTACATAACTCGATACTGAGTCCCTGTGAATGCCGGTTAGGGCCTGTCGCTAAGCTGCCGGGTCCAGAGGTTGCTTAATGAACCTCTGGACTTCGTCCGTCAGTTCATATAGATGCCTCCTGACGTGCCTAGGCGAGGGCTCCTCTGCAAGCAGCTGTCTGCTTGGGTGGCCACTTCTGTGGCTCCCGATCAGGAACTGCTTGCAGAGCATTATATTGTGCTCCTTTACAGGGAGCATTAGCGCCTCGCCGTGTAGGTGGTGTTCAGGCGAAATTAGGAGGCATCCTGTCGCTGTCCTGAGTGCGGTGTTCTGTAGTCTGTAGCTTCGTCCACTGCGTCCTACTACTCCCTGGCGACCACACTGGCGCTGCGTAGTTCAAAACCGGCCGGCCTATTGCCTTGTATGTTGCCAGCAACGTTTCTTTGTCTTTGCCCCAAGTACTGCCGGCTAGCGACTTGAGGACCTTGTTGCGGCTCT